GAAATCATGGATTTGATATAAAAAGGAAATTGCATAATAAAATAATTACTGTGTGTGTTCATTCATTCAGTTCATACCTTGTTATTCTCTCTTTCATACTTGCAATTCTTTCCATGGGAGTAGAGATGTGAATGGAAAAATCAATTGAATCTCCCATATCCGGACTGCGGTAAAAATTCCCTGTGTACTTTGTGGACAAAACACTGTTTGGATACATTATTTTTTGATTGTCATCTCTGACAGTTGTCAATAGATTCATCTCTTCGACAACCATCTGAAATCCCAAATAAGAAATGTGTGTTAAGTCAAAGATGTAGGAAATGATGATGCTATTACGCAAGATGAAAAAACAATTTAATTAATCACCTGAACTTCGTCCCTTTCAACACGGTCACCAACATCATACGGATGCATTACAAAATAAGAAAATGATGGCTCAAACAATGTCTTAGTTGTGTTTCCAAACATGAAAGCCAGAAATAGAAATTGAGAACTTAAAAAATGAAAAATGCATATTTGCAACTTGCAGTATAAGAAGCTAGATGACCCCTATGAATAGCGCTACAAGAATGTTCAACATCTGATGCAATTTGTTCACAACAGTTTTGGTGTCATTTAAAGACAAAGATAGAGCCCTCCTATCCCGAAATGTATTGACTTGGGTAATACATTACAACTTTTCAATCTCACATTCATTGATACGTACATAAACCATCGCGTAAAAGAAATTTATTTATCGCTTCAGAATTATTCCATCGTTAGATTTCTTTGTTATGGTGAATTTCATAAATATTATTTGAATTTTAATTGTTGCTTGGTGATTTGAGTATTTTTGGTTGTTTGGTACTCTTCATTTCTAGTATTTGATGGTTGTTTGATGCTGTGTTGTGATTTAGAGCAGGTTGATGTTGTTGTTGTGTGTTAGAATGCATCCCACATCGGAAGTTCAAGAGTAAAATAACCGATATATAAGCTCTTGAGTTGGACTAACTAATCGATTGGATTCAATCTTTTAATGTGGTTCAACCCAAGTGTCTTATTGCTCAATCCAATTGTCCATAACCATCCTAAATTCTATCATTGTGTGAAATTGAAAAAATTGCAGCTGTTGTCAAATTGGTGATGGAAAAGAAATTCCTTCACTATATGGTAAGATAGCTAAAACGGTCGACATTCCGTAGTTACTTTTGGCGACGGAATCTTTTCCGTCACTAAAACCTCGCCAATTTCCGTCACCAATTCTGTCGTTCCCTGGCGACGGATTTTAAAAACCGTCGTTAATATTAATACTAACAAAAAATTAACGACGAAATTAAAACCGCCGTTAATTCCATCGTTATACGAATTACCTATAGAAATCAGGGTTAGGCGACAGAATTTTTCCATCGCGATTTTAGTAGTTTTTTTATAGTGATGGCTATGCCGATCAAAGCCCGTAGTGGCGTGGCGGATACTAATGGCTGCGATTGTTCTTGATGAAGTTGTGCCGTTTTTTTATTGAAGAAAAAGAAAAAGATTCGGTCGGAATCAAAATCATACAAAATCATGGATTTGATATAAAAAGGAAATTACATAATAAAATAATTACTGTGTGTGTTCATTCATATCCGGACTGCGGTAAAAATCAATTGAATCTCCCATATCCGGACTGCGGTAAAAATTCCCAGTGTACTTTGTGGACAAAACACTGTTTGGATACATTATTTTTTGATTGTCATCTCTGAGGAACACAGTTGTCAATAGATTCATCTCTTCGACAACCATCTGAAATCCCAAATAAGAAATGTGTGTTAAGTCAAAGGTGTAGGAGATGATGATGCTATTATGCATGATAAAAAACGATTTAATTCATTACCTGAACTCTGTCGATTTCAACACGGTCACCAACATCATACGGATGCATTACGAATAAAAAATGATGGCCTCAAACAATGTCTTGGCCATGGTTCCAAACATGAAAGCCACCAATAGAATCTGAGAACTAAAAAAGATGAAAAAATGCACATTTGCAACTTGAAGTATAAGAAGCCAGATGACCCCTATGAGTAGTGCTACAAGAACGTTCAACATCTGATGCAATTTGCTCACAACTATTTTGGTGTCATTTAAAGACAAAGCAAGAGCTCTTCTGTCCCGAAATGCATTGACCTGGGTAATGCATTACAGCTTTTCAATTTCACATTCATTCATACGTACATCTTCCTTCCAACCTAACTACTTTAATAATTACATGAAGAAGATAAGGCTACTTTCCCACAAGAAAATCCAAATCCTAACTCAACTCGTAACATTCATCAGCAAATATGATATATAAACTCATATGAGGGAAGAAAACACATTGAGAACAAACCCTTACCACCCAATTTTTGAGAACTCCTTTACTAATCCCTTTGGTCTCCTCATTTTAACCTTCAAAGAGGCGCATCACTTTCATAGCGTCATCCTCCCTCATAAAGCATAGGAGATCCTCTGTGTAAATAAACTTATATATACATATATAACCCCAAACATGTTAACAATAAAGTCTAATCACATGCCGCCATCACATCTTAAGATAAATGAAAAACTAAAATGTTTGTTAGGGATGAACTATGAAATCATGGTCCAATGCAGTGAGGTGGGAAAGCTATGTATTATCTCCGATCCCAAATAAATGATTATAAACTATTTAAAAAAATGCTCCTGCCATTATGCTGTCAAATTACTTTTTAGTTGAATTATATATTACGAATGAAAGGGGCTTAGAATATCACAATCTACAACTACTGACCTACTCCTTCTTGGAAGGCCAATTTTCACAAATGAAGTAAAGCCCACTATATAACTTGAAACACAATAGCAAAAAGTTCCCTTGGACTGATGTGATTTGCTCTGATTTGGAATTTCATTCAATGATGTGAAAAAATCAGATTTAAAGTACTCATAGACCAGTGAGTCAGTGCAAATCAAGAGAAAACATAAAATAACTGTAAATGCTGATTAAGTTGCTGCTAAAGAATAAATCTGTAACAAGCTCCCCAAAAAGGGAAAGCTAGTGTAGGAAACTAAGTTGAATTTTAAAAAGGAAATCACACAGTAAATTAGATAAGTAGTACTCACTCGGATCCTCGCTTGGCAACAATGTCAAAAATCTTCTTCGCTACAACTTTTGCCAATTTTTGACTCGTAATCTGCCCAGCAGATTCATCTCTACCCCTTGACCCATGAAGTTGTTCATCTAAAGTAGACAACACCCCTTTCCGGACAATATGCATTAGCCTCTTCATATCCCACGCTGAAATGTTTTTCCTAGTGAGTCTTCTCAAGCGATCGAGTGTGTTCTTATCCACCCATCCATTGTCTTGTCTTTCTCATCCTCTCGTCCCTGTGGAATCCCAATCAACGGAAGACTAGATAATGTCTGAATCACATATTGATCGAACAGGGACTCCCGAATCCGATCAAAGAATGTGCTGACATGGAACGACATAGCCAGGACCTTGACAATAATGATCTTTGCTAGCCATATCAGTGTTCCGACAAGTAGACAAATCAGGATCCGGGTCACGAAAGGCAATACTTTATTTTTAGTCAGCTTTTAATACCTCGTGTGGTATATACATTCCCAACCTATGAACACTAGACTCAACCAAATACAGTTTTGGACAGCATCTTTCAATTTATACACGAAATAAAGAATCCTCTTCCGCAATAGAAAATTGCGTTCCATGAAGAAGATTATAATCCTAACTCCCCCACTAGAAATAATCCTTCAAGATATCAACAGCAATGCCATGAAAAGCCATTTCCACAATTTCATACCAACGAAATCTAAGTTTCTTAGCACATGGAATATGAAACTGCCGCACAAAACTGCAGTTAGAAAAACTAAACTCACCCATTGCGAAGTAGTCCAGAGATGATGAAAAAGGCTAATCTTCTCCTTCTTATAATCCTCCGTCAAATCACAAATGGTCAGCTCGGGGTGGTTCAATAGCCTGGACTTCATTTTCCTAGAGAGAAACTCTGAATTGATGGAAATCAACTTGTGGCGAACCCCTTCATCAATTTCTATTGGCATGTTAACTGCTACGAATTCGCTAGAACCAGACCTGCGGCCAACCCCTTCATCAATTTCTATTGGCATGTTAACTGCCACGAATTCTCTAGAATCAGCTGAAGCCATGTCGGAATTAACTTTCACCGCCGAGGATGCCTTGGAGAGATCGACAATAGTGAAACTCTCTAAGTCTCTCTTCTTTCCTAATGCAGAGTTTGCGTGCTTAAACTTGAAGTGTTTCACGTGAAACCAAGCACAATTAATCAGACTAATTATTGCTTTTTTAAATGTACAAAGTATTTGATTCATTATATTACCTCCATCCTCAATTTGATTATAAATTGGGGTTTACGAAGAGAATTATTTGACTTTTTAAAATAATTTTATTTACAAATCGGTACATTGATAAGAAATAAAAATTACATAATAAAAAACTACGTCAAAAGTGTTACAGAACAAGAGGTGATAAGAATATTTTATTTTATCAAATACTTAATGAAATCATGTAAACAAATAATAATTATCGAGAAGAGAGAGAAAAAATTATAATCAAATTGGGGACGGAGAGAGTATATATACTCCAACCAAAAACACTTTCATTTTTTGATTTTTATAAATTTCAAGAAATGAATATAGTGTGATACATAAGATAAAAAAATTAATAAAGATAAAAATAAATGTTAAGTCGATAGTAGAATGACTTTTTGGAATGAAAAAAAATTCAAAGAGGAAATATTTTAGAGACAAAGATCGTGTTTTCTTCATATTATCTAATTAGCTCTAATTTGATCTCGCCTAATTTGATTATAGTAATGTCTAAAGTTTTTTCCAAATCTGATCTGGTCTATTCAAATTTGAGTTTAATAATAATAAATATTAAGTAGTAAGAATAAATTGAGAATAACATCGCCTAAAAGAGCAAAAAATATAAGGAGTATATTGTAATGAATAAAATATCAATATTACACTAAAATACTTTCTTTTGAAAATTAGTTATAATTTATTTTTACAAGTTTATTTATATTTTCAAAATATTCACTTACTTAATGATGATGATGATGATGATGATAATAATAATAATAGAGTAAATAATGATGATAATAATAAGTTTGTGTAAATAATGAGAGAATGGAAAGACCTCACCAATGCAAAAAAATACCCAGTAATCTATGACTCCGTTTGTTCCAAATTAAATTATTTGTTTACTATTCAGAGAGTCAAATTTTGTTCACTTTCTTTTCTTATGTTCATTCAGCATTTGATAAAATAATATGGTCATGTCTATACTAATTTTGTAGATCTTTTGATATAGTTTTAAAATTTGTAATTTTTATTTTTTTAATTCTATAGTATTTTCATATAAAATGATTTGAAAAATAAATTCAGTCAACAAAATGAATCTCCCATATCCAGACTGCGGTAAAAATTCCCTATGTAGTTTGTCAACAAACCACTGTTTGGATTCATTTTTTTATTGTCATCTCTAAGGAACACAGTTGTCAATAGACTCATCTCTTCGACAATTATCTGAAATCCCAAAAAACAAATGTGTGTTAAGTCAAAGATGTAGGGGATGATGATGCTTTGACACACACATACACATAAGCCCAAACATGTTAACAATTAAATCTAATCACATGCCGCCATCACATCTTAAGATAAATAAAAAACTAAAACGCTTGTTAGGGATGAACTAAGAAATCATGGTCCAATGCACAGGTGGGAAAGCTTTGTATAATCTCCAATCCCAAATAAATGATTATAAACTATTAAAAAAATGCTCTTGCCATTATGTTATTAAATTACTTTTTAGTTGAATTATATGTTACATATGAAAGGTGCTTAGAATGTCACACTCTACACCTACTAACCTACTCCTTCTTAGAAGGCCAATTTTCACAAATGAAGTAAAGCCCACTATATAACTTGGAACACAATAGCAAAAAGTTCCCTTGGACTAATGTGATTTGCTCTGATTTGGAATTTCATTCGATGATGTGAAAAATTTAGATTTAAAGTACTCATAGACCAGTGAATCAGTGCAAATTTAGAGAAAACATAGAATAACAGTAAATGCTGATCAAGTTGTAGCTAAATAATAAATCTCTAACAAGCTCACAAAAACGGTAAGCTAGTGTAAGAAACTCGCTTAGCAGCTAAATTAAAAAGAAAATCACACAGTCAATTAGATAGGTAGTACTCACTCGGATCCTCGCTTGACAACATTGTCAAAAATCTTCTTCGCTGCAACTTTTGCCTATTTTTCACTCGTAATTTGCCCAGGAGATTCATCTCTACCCCTGGACCCATGAAGTTGTTCATCTAAAGTAGACAACACACCTTTCTAGACAATATTCATTAGCCTCTTCATATCCCAAGCTAAAATGTTTTTCCAAGTGAGCATCCTCAAGTGATCGAGGGTGATTCTTCTCCCCTCAGCCTTGACTTTCTTAGACGCAATTCTTGAAAACGTTGCACTTGGGCTGCTTATAGGGCAAAAAGAGTTCTTATCCTCCCCATCCCATGTCTTTTCTTTCTCCTCCTCTTGTTCTCGTGGAATCCCAATCAACGGAGGACCAGATAATTTATGAATCACATATTGATCGAATAGGGACTCCTAAATCCAATCAAAGAATGTGCTGACAAGGAACGACATAGCAAAGACCTTAACAATCACGGTCTTTACTAGCCGTATCAATGTTCATACCAGTAAAATCTAAGTTTCTTAGCATAGAGAATGTGAAACTGCGTCACAAAACTGCAATGAGAAAAATTAAACTCACCCATTGCAAAGTAGTCCAGAGATGATGAAAAAAAGCTAATCTTCTTCTTGTTGTAATCTTGAGTTAAATCATCCTCCATGGTGGTCAGCTCAAGGGTGCTCAACAGCCTAGACTTCATCTTCTTAGAGAGAAACCCCAAATTTCTCCAAGATGTGGTTGTACTATGTGTCACAATCTCATCCCTTCCACTAGCGCATTGCTGGCCACTAGAATTCGACCTGCGGCAAACCCCTTCATCGGGGTTTCCCCTAGCGTCAACAAATGCTGCATCTTTCGACAGATCAGTTTCTATTGGCCTAGCATTGATGTTAACTATGAAGAATTCGCTAGAATCAGCTAGAGACTTGAACTAGGAGGGCGAAGAAGTTAAAGAATCCATGTAGTAATTCAACTTTCTTGCTGCCGCCGAGGATGCCTTGAGAGAGAGGAGAGATCGAAAACTGCCGTGTAGCCCGTGAAACTCTCTGAGTCTCGATCTGTTCTTTCCTATTAGAACCAATGCAGAGTTTTCCGTGTGCCATGTAAACTTCCCCTCACACAAGTATGTATAATTGCAAACAATTTTAAAACACTTCAATCAAAATATGCAACCAATAAGCCAAATTACTCCGACTATTACTTCTAATTATTCCTTTTTTGAGATGTATTTGATTCATTATATTATATATACTCCAACCAAAAACACTTTCCTCTTTTGATTTTTATAAATTTCAAGAAATGAATAATAGTGAGATACATAAGATAAAAAATTAATAAAATTAAATTTTTAATCGATAGTAGAATGACTTTTTGGAATTAAAACAATTCAAAGAGGAAATATTTTAGCGACTGTGGTCATGTTTTCTTCATCTTATCAGATTAGCTCTGAAATGATCTTGCCTGATTTTATTGTAGTTATGTGTAAAGTTTTTTTTTTTCCTATTATGATCTGTTCTTTTTTCTAATTTGATTTTGATAATAATTAATAGTAAGTAGTAAGAATAAATTGAGATTAACATGGCCTAAAAGAGTAAAAAATATAAGGAGTATATTGCAATGAATACAATACCAATATTACACTAGAATGAGATGGACACCTGGACTTGGAAGACGAAGAAGTTAAGGAATCCATGTAGCAATTAAACTTTCTTGCTGCCGCCGAGGATGCCTTGAGAGAGAGGAGAGATCAAAAACTGCCGTGTAGTCCGTGAAACTCTCTGAGTCTCGATCTGTTCTTTCCTATTAGAGCCAATGTAGAGTTTGCGATGTGCTAAAGAAACTTCTCCCTCACAAGTATATATAATTACCAACATCGTTAAAATACTTCAATCAAAACGCGCAACAAATAAGACAAGGTACTCCGAGTATTACTTCTAATTATTCCTTTTATGAGATATATTTGATTCATTATTATATTATATCTTCTCCAACCAAAAACACTTTCCTCTTTTAATTTTTATAAATTTCAAGAAATGAATATAGTGTGATAAATAAGATAAAAAATTAATAAAAATAAATTTTTAATCGATAGTAGAATGACTTTTTGGAATGAAAACAATTCAAAGAGGAAATAGTTTAGATACTATGGTCATAAAAATTAATAAAAATAAACTTTTAATCGATACTAGAATATATTGTCTTGTTCTTCTCCTCCTCTTGTTCACGTGGAATTCCAATCAGCGGAGAACCAGATAATGTCTGAATCACATATTGATCGAACAGGGCTTCCTAAATCCGATCAAAGAATGTGCTGACAAGGAACGATATAGCAAGGACCTTAACAATCACGGTCGTTGCTAGCCGTATCAATGTTCTGACAAGTAAACATATCAGGATCTGAGTCACTAATGGCAACACTTTATTTTCAGTTAGCTTTTCATGCCTCGTATGGTATATGCACTCCGAACCTATGAACAGTTTACTAGACCAAATACAATTTTCTACTGCATCTCTCAATTCATACACGAAACAAAGAATCCTCTTTCGCAATAGAAAATTGCATTCCATGAAGAGGATTATAATTCTTACTCCCCCACTAGAAATAACCCTTCCACATATCAACAACAATGTCATGAACAGCCATTTCCACAATTTAACCAGCAAAATCTAAGCTTCTTAGCATAGAGAATGTGAAACTGCCTCACAGACCTGCAATGAGAAAAATTAAACTCACCCATTGCAAAGTAGTCTAGAGACGATGAAATAAAGCTAATATTCTTCTTGTTTTAATCTTCAGTTATATAATCCTCCATGATGGTCAGCTCAGGGGGGGTCCAACAGCCTTGGACTTCATTTTCCTAGAGAGAAACCCTTAATTTCTCCAAGAAGATGTGGTTGTACTATGTAAATTTCAAGAAATGAATATAGTGTGATACATGAGGAAAAAAATTAATTAAAATAATTTTTTAATCGATATTAGAATGCCTTTTTGGAATGAAAACAATTCAAAGAGGAAATA